GTGTGTGTGTGTGTGTGTCTCTTTGCCTGTGTCTCTCTTTCTGCTCCTCTTTTCCTCCGCGTCCTCTGGCAGATCCCTCATCCCTGTGCCGCTCTCTTTCGCGCCGAACCGCGTATCCTGTCATGCATATGAATGAAACTGTTTTGCCGCGAGCCGAAAAAACGTCACGCTGTTAAACGACTCGCGCTTATTCATAGCTGCAGTCAACGAACACCACCCCCGTCCCGGCGGAACTTCGAGGGACGATAATTCGAAGCTCGTTCCGGGCGTGCCCTTTGGGCCCTTTGTGCACCTGTGATAACGTTTCGAAGAGACAGAGAGAGCGCACATGGCTACGCGCTTCGCCCTTCGGCTGATGCACGTTCATCAAACAAATCGCGGGTGGCCCTACCGACTTGACAAGAAAATAGTCCGGAAAAACTCGGCGCGACTGGTTTTCGGACGAGGCTTTGCGCGATTATACGGAAAAAAATATGTCCCCGCCGCAGTTAATCGTGGCTTGCTGAAAGTGCACTTGCGTCGCTGCAACGAAAAATTTGTCGCAACCAGAATGTCTGTTACTGTTGCTGCTATATCGGCTCCATAGCTAAATATATGTTCACTGGCAGCTGTACTTTTAACTATATACAGAGAAAAACATCATTCTAGTGCCGAGAAAAGTGATTATTCAGTTTTTTAGTTATTTTCAACACGAAATATATTCTTGATAATAATCTTAAATAATGCTCATGAGAAATTTGGGAAAAGTTCATTATCATGCACTCAAAAGAAGGATATATTCTCTTCGCTAGAATATCACGGAACTTTCCACCAGAAAAAGTCAACACGCATCTATTCAGTGAGCAAATTTCGTTTCAATTCAATATCCTTAATTAAAATTTTCGTTTCAATTCAATATCCTTAATTAAAATACTAAACTTACTAGGATCCAGAATATATTTGAATAAATTTGATGCTCTCACGAGATGAAAATTTATAATAGATTTGTGCGGATATATAAACTTACGAAATCGTGAAACTGATAACATTTACTTGAACGCAGTATGTACTTTTCTCTATATGTGTGTATCCATATGTTACAATGAGATTTAGCTGCCACACACAGATTCTTGCTGCCACGGCTAATTCTTCTTTTCCGTGCAGCGCGTGTCGTTTCAGAGACGCGTACCCAGCGAGTTCATTCGCGATCTGCGAGATTGGTCATAATTGGCGGAAATGTACTCCTCCACTTTGTAAAGATCCACCTTTTGTGCGCGCACGCGTATTTCATTATCCGAAGTCACGATGGAGATGTAAAGTTTTTGCACGACGACGATGGATAATGCAAAATCTATCCATGCGATCGTCCATTTGCTCGTTCGCTTTCGCTCGCTCGTTCATTCGTACATTTGTTCGTTTTCACGCGCGAATGTAATTCGCGCGATTTTTCCGCGCGCTCTTTCACGAGAATCAGAAATGAGGGAAACATGAGAATCAATCTCGCGAGTAAAATGTATTCGGGGTGTACGTGTGTATCCCGGTTGCAAAGATTTGAGAAATGTTCGTTTTAATGGTTGATGTAACGTGAATATTGGTTACCACCGAAGTGTTACGTGCCTGGAGTCGCAAGTAGAGTCACGTACCGCGCGACCAGAATATATCTATATATATGTATACACATCATAATATAGGCTGTAAGGTGTGGCATGAATATACGTCGGGCGAAATCAAGTACGCATCCTGCAAAATGTAAATCCGCGAACCCGAAGCCTGATCGCGCGCGAACGCGACGGTGTAAGCTGATTCTTCGGAATAAACGACCATATTGTCATGTCTGTCGTCCGCGGGTTCGCGTCATTTTGGCTCGCGCGCCATCCTAGCGTTATTACGCCGCCACCGCCGCCGTATTTTTGCATCGTTTTAGCGGCTCGGAACTTTTTAGTCAAATTGAGTAACGGATCGTGCATTGAATGCAAATCACCGCGACATAACGCGACTCCTCCGTCCCTTCCTCCTCTCCTTTCGATTTTTTGTAGCTTCTTTTTTCTCC